GCACTAGAGGGATCTGCAAGAACACCTGTAGCTAGCTAACAAACCAGCTTTGCAGAGGTCTCCACTCAGCAGAACAGGTCACAGGCCACTGACAGGTTGAATGAAGTAACCATTTGCTGGATAAAGAACCCCCTGTCTTAGAAGTCTGCTCTGACTTTATATTCCTACCTGGCTAACACCCTGTGTGCCCAGGTTCCTTATTTAAATGTTATTTTGAACAACTTCTATCCTCTTGTCATCATTTCTGCTCTGTAGCAGTAGCTGCTTATTTTGATGTTTTATCTTTTCCTCTTATTATTTGCAATCCAAACTGACCTTTTTACTACATAACCACTTGAAAAAGACATGTCCTGCTCACATGAGGGATGCCTCCAGAGAAGGGCAGTCCTGCATAATTTCCTCTTCTCTACAGAAAGCCTTCATATTGGAAAACTGGGGAATATTACTTTCTGGCCCTGCACACTCTCCTGGGTAGAAAGGTCCTGAAACACAACTTATTGTAAAACACACAGTGGTTACAGAGCTAGCACAGTCAATGATATTCCTTTTATTACCACTCAGATGAGAACACAAAATGACATTGGAAAGCAGTGAACTCACCAGAAGGGCAGAGAAAGCCATTAAATTCAACACACATCATATTTCATAATCAGAATCCTGCAGTCAGAGCTGACACCACTGAATGAGTTTGTTGCAGTCATGATAATATAAAACCTGCTGCATCTGCTTCCCTTGGCACTTTTCTTTGTAGACTCTTGCAGTGTATGGGCTATTAATCATCAGTAGCCAGGGACACTGCAGACCAATGCACTTTGTATTGCATAAATTGAAAATGCATCACTATTAGAGAGAAAACTGCCTTCTGTACATCTCTATTTAGATAAGCAGTTTCCTAAAGGGCTGCCATGTTATTATGGCTAACCACTTAATTGGAGCCCTTTCCACAGGCTGGTGATTGGGGAGGGGGTGGTAATGCAATCCCTTTTGGAGCATGTATGAAAACAAGGCAGGGAGCGCATTCCCTTTCTGACCTAGGAAGCCTGACAGGGCTGGAGCTGGAGGAAAGCAAACAAAAGCAAATATATTGTATCATTTAACCTCACTAAATTAACTTCATAAAGGAGAGGGCTGAGCGTCCCTGTGAGTGGGAGAGGGATGTTGTGTAACCTGCACGGGAGTGGGTTCTCTGTAGCTGACTGGAGCAATGGATCAGCAGAGAAGGGATGTTGCCTTTCCCTCCATTAGCTCTGCTCACAGAAGAAGGTAAGCTAAGGTTTAGGAGGATAAAAAAGTTTTGGTGGCAACATGAGAAAAGGCAATTGCAAATTCAGCACTCAAAATTGCTTTTTAAAGAGAACCCATTTTCTTCTACTGTCATTTGTCCAAGTTTTATATGTAAAGAGGAAAGATCAGCAACTAATGCAAATGAGAGATCAGAGGTAATTTGACAATGGAAATACAGCTTTTAAATTGCATGTGTTCAACTCTCAATTGCTACATGGTTTAAGTATTTTCTCTTGAAGGATCAGCGTTTGGCACTTCATTCATCTTTGGTCATAGCTGCCCACACTTCATTCTCATGCCACATGCCGTACTCTGTGAATCTCATTTCCTTGTGTGTGCAGTCAGTGATGTGTCAGAATGACAGGAGTCTGAGTTGAAATTATGTGAATTTGTGTTGAAGCCCGTATCTCCTGGTACTTGCTGGCTCAAACACAGGTTTATTGGCTAAAGTGCTTGGGCCGGAGCCAAATCAGAACTGAGTTTAAGTTGGGACCCATACACATACCTTGTTCTATCACATACCTGTGATCCTCAGCTTCTCCCAGCTGCTGCCTAGCCTGGGGGTGTTTATGATTTGCCAACTTCACTTGACTTCTTTGGACAACGTCCTCTAGAAAGTGCAACCACAACCCAAAATATTTCTGTCTTGATGGATCCAAAGAGCTCAGATCTCCTGTCACTCAGGTACGATGTCAAGGTAAACTGAACTGGGGAGGTGCTTCAAGAGCATGTTTCTCAGTGAGGTTATTTATGCAGAGCTGGAGGATATGGAGAGCACAGATTATTAGACAGAAAGATGGCAGGATCATGACTACAGGATGGAGAGAGGAGGGTCAGGTTCTAACCCACAATCACAGGCTTCTGTTTGCACATTAACAGTAAGCCCCAGGAGTGGTACTTGCATCTGAGTTGGGTTGGGCTCTCTGATCTAGCTGATTGGCATTGACTTGCTTCTGTAAGAAATTAATGCCGAAGCTCTGACAAAGAAGTGACAGAGATATGAGGGGCCCCTTCATGTAGAAAAAAAAGGGGGCATGGCCAAGTCATTCACAGAACAGTACATAGTAAATATCATCTTTTAAGTCCTTCCAGTTTGTGCCTTTGACTCTAGGCTATAATCCTGTTAGAGGTTAAGCTGGTCTAAATCCAGACTGCACTTGTTCTGCCTTCCCCTCTGGTCTGCTCCTGCGTGCTTTGGTGCTACTCTGCATGGCTGAGGTTAAAACAGGTTTTGATACATATTTGCGTTACCTTTAAGAACTCAGAGGGTGTTTGTGTATGTGAGCCTGGTGCCCAAAGGGGAACAGAATTGAGTTTTAAACTCTGATCGCAGGGTCAGTAGCAGGGATGGAAAGGTCACTTAATACAGGAGTTATGAATGAGAACAGAGTTGTCTGTGAGGGACAGTGGTTTGCCTCTGTGGGGAGAACATTAAGGACCGAATTTGGATGAAATCTGATATGGGATGTGCTCTGTTGGTAGCTCCACTCAGATGTTGGCTAGCTGCCTTCATCTTGCAATCTAACAAGAATATAATTTCATTCTAGGTAACCTGGTGGTGAGTTATAACCTATGTGGTAAAGCAGTCAAGTGATTCATGAAGAACATATTACCATCTTTAACTGGAGGTAACAAGAAGTATGTTCTGTTTTAAAGCAACTTTTGGTTTTCTCTGATTGAATCATGGAAGGATAAAAACTATATTCCACCTGAGTTGAGGACCAGGGCAGTGCAGGTGGCTTGATTCTGGGACTGATGCTTCTGTCTAATACCTGAACATTAATGCTACCTGTAAGCACTCCCCTGCCCCCCGAAATGGATGTAGGGAAATTCTGCATGCTCTCTGCTGTCTATCACAAAGGACTCTGAAGCCTCGAGAGCTACTAGATCTGATTTTAAAGGCAAGTAGTTAGAACAAAAACATTCAGGTTATGAAAACCTCTTTTGAAAGCCAAGCAACTGCTCAGAAGATTGCTACTGCTGAGTATTGGTTTCTACAAAATTACCTAGTTAAAAATAATGATTTTTTTGCTTTTAAAACACGAACAACCCCCCAAATCCACTCGCTGATACTGGAAACTGCCTGTGCTTCGCTCCGAGCTTTGAATGCAGGTTGTTTTGCAAAAAATAATAATGTTGAAGCATGGAAATATCTTGTTGAAAGAAATAAATTATGCAGAGGTTTCCTAAATAATTGAACAGATACAGTAAACAAAAATTATGACTCCTTACAAAACACCTCATCCTGGTAGCATTTTGTTCTGCGGGAACAGATGTGGACTCTGTGTTTTGAGGCTTTAATTTTTATCACACAGTATCCTGTCCTTGGGCAGAGCAGTGTGGCAGATGCAGAGTAATGTCCCAAAAGGCCTGTCAAATGTTGTACTAGCATCCTTCCAAGTTTCTGCTGTGAATTAATGTAGTTGTATGCCAGTATCCTAGTCTTTAATGTCAAACTATTGTATTATAACTTAAAATATTCTAGTATCAGCCAGTGAACATGGCTTCGAAAACAAGATCTCATTATATTTGTTAGTTAACATTATTAACGTGATGAGGTGTTATAACAGGTAACCTGTTCAAATAGTCAGTAAAGCTGACCTGAAAAGACAATAAAAAAGCCCCATGGTGTGGAAGCCATCACAGATTTCTTGTCTGTACCCTCATTTCTTTAGATGAATGTCTGTTAGTCAGTAATGCCTTTTATTAATGCTTTGATTTCACTTGGGATGTCCCAGCCTCTGGTTCAATCTGCTGATAGGCTTTGACAGATTGCTTTTGCTATACATAAAGCTGTATTTAATACCAATTTAAGCTCCTTCAGTTGTAAGAGTTACTCATGAGAAAACAAATGCAAGTCAAAAAGAAATGCTTCTGAAGCACAGGAAATTTTCTTTCTTAATGTATATAATTACTTTCCTCTTTCAGTATTGCTAATATATATAATTGCTTTTCTCTTTCAGTATTGGTAATGGGAAATTTGGGATCACACTCTGTTGTAAGGCTTTGCAACAAGTACAACAAGCTACTGCAGCAAAGTCAGGGTTTACGTTTATTTAGTCCTTGGGGGGGGGGTGTGTGCTGGAATTAAGACTAGAAGTAAAATGAGGCCTCCCTGATTTAGAATACAGTGCCTCAAATGTGTTAACCAGTTAGTGTGATTTATGTGTTTCCTTCCTCACACACACCCTCTGTAAAAGAAAATCTAATCAGGATTTAAAGTCAGGCTGCATCCATTGCTTTGATTCTGCTGAATTGTTTCTGTTTCTTCTATGTGAAAGAAAAGCTAAGCCAAGCAAATTACAACAAAATAGTCCAATTAAAGCTGTATTTGACCCATAATGCAGTGCAGTATGCATCACACCTTGCTTTTTCTACTGTTAGCCACCTTTCAAATTGAGAACATGATTGCAGTAACTACTACCTACAGTAGTTGATACTGTTAAGTGGGGGAATGCGTCAGAACTTTTGCTTTTGTAGTCTGGGGATACAGAAAAATGAGCTGAGGAGTCAAACAGAATTCGATCTTCCCTCACTCACTGCAAATGCTAAACCCCTGACTCTGTGAGTAGTGTTTCTGTAGGATGACAACTTCCTGCAGCATCCCTCGAGATCAACCATGTCAAAGTGCCCAGTCCTGGTGGTACTGCTGAGAATGAAGAGAGCAGACAGCACAGCTTTAATAAGATCACTCAGTAGACTTTCTTTTCCTTCCTTTTCCATGTTTGTGTCTTATTAATCTGCCTTTTTCTTACTTGAATGTACAGAGTAGCAGTAAATGGGTCCATCTGACTTGGAGAGCAGGGATGGAAGAGTTTTGGCCTTACTCCCTGGTGAGAACACAGAGGAAGAGGCCAGCACAATCAGACTAGATGTCTGCACCAGCCGTGACTATCTTGGTGGATCTAGAAGGAAGGTAAGAACTGCGCCTTCGAGGTACAAGTGATTTACACTGCTGAGAACAGGCTGTGTTAGAGGACATGCAGTGAGTTCTATACATGGTGAAACTGCACATGGATTTTACTTCACTGTGTAGTAAACTGAAGAGAAATGAATTCAAACTGCCACTGACCTCTTCAGGAGGGGGGAGTTCAGCCTGAGCCCAGTCTGCTCAGCAGGGAGTGGGAGCAGCAGGGGCACAGTGTGTGACGCTGGTGCGAGCCTGGTATTTTATGCACTAGAGGGATGTCAGGGTGGATTACACAGCAAAATCCTCACCACTGATGTGCCTGGTAACAGTGTGTTTCCAGGCTTATGTTCTGGGAATCCTTCCTTCTAGTGCCACTGGGCCTTCTGATTAAGCGCAGTTCCCCAACGTAAAGGGACACAAAGTGATTTCCTTGCAGACTTCAGTTGTGCATCCCACTGGCTTCATGCAGGCAGACAGGGATGACAGCTAGTTTGATTTGGCAGTAGCCTGGTATTTTCACTATGGGGAAAACACAGCTTTAAAATCCCCTAGTTATTTCTGTGAAACAACATGCTCAGGATTGATTACTTCTGGAAACTGTTGCAGCTGAAAGGTGTAGCTGTGTAAAGACTTACAAGTGCAGCAAGTCATCATCCAGATAAATCATTGCTTGCTATTGACAAGGAATTTAAGTTTGGGTTAGTTGTTAGGTGAGCATGCACAATGGGCTGTGTTGAAATCTCAGTGGGGCTTTTCCTTACTGTTTGATAGAGCTGGTAAAAAAGCCCAAACAATAAAACTCCCTCACCACGAGCTTTAATTATTTTATGATGTCAGCAGGAATGTCTTGAGACTTAATGCTCAGAAAAAAGCTGCAGTGGATCAGAACCAGATTCCTCTCTCTGCACAACTGGGTGATTTGCATGCATTTCATATATTCATCTAGCTATATTTGGAAAAATCATTGTCACAAGCTTCCTTGCTGGTAAGGGAGCTCAGCAGAACAGGAGGAGGACAGGGAATAAGAGGAAACACTGCAGGGATATGAAAAGAAAGATGTGGTACAGCGAGTTAAGGAAGGTGCCTCGAGGGGAAGAACAGAAGGGAAAGGCTTTCTCATGTCCCTGCTTTGCAGTTTTCCATACTGCAGGCACATGAGCTCACTTCCATACTGCCTTCTAGAGTGAGCCCCAGCTAGTCCTGGAGGAAAACATAAACCTGCATTTAAGGTTAGTATGTTCCAAGATTATATATTCAAACTAATCTGGCTCTTCCACCCAGGAGGGAGGGCTCTTTGACAGTACACCACCAGGTAGTTGCTCACTATCAGGAGTGTGCTATCTGTGTCCTGCTGCAAACACGCCTTCATTTTGAACTGAAACAGAAGAGGAAAGGGAAGTTTCGTTCTGTAGGGTTTTTTCATGGTTGTAGGGGCCTTAGAGAGCATGAAGGCCAAACCTTGTGCTGTGTTGAGCCTGCTCCCATTGGTGCCAGCTCAGCGTGACTGAGATGCGTACACACAGCCTTAGGATACACAGGAGCTGATTTAAATTACCAAACACACCTTCCTTCACTAGCACTTCCAAGTTGCATGTTTTCCTTCTAAACAGGGCGTGCTTTAAAAGAGGTATAACGCTCTATTGAGTTTTCTTCAATAGTGTTACGTGGTCTGAGATATGGAGAATGACAGACCAATCTTCTAGTTTATAATCTGCAGTATTTGAGTTATTTTTTATTAAATTGTTTATCCAAGTCATCTTACAGATTACTGCTTCGTCCAGGCATTTGTCACAACCAGCTCTCCACAGAAGCTGTCTTCACCATTAAGGGAAACTTGATTTACAAACTATATTTAATGAAAGAAAAGCATCCTGCAGCCAAAGCTGCAAATATTTGGCAAATGGCTCCATTGAAAGCTTTCCACAGGATGTCAGTCAGCTCCAGTAAGTTCTCATTAATTAAGCACTGTACTAGATGGTAAGAGACTTTTAAGATTCACAGTGTCAGCACTGCCTATAGAACCAGTAATTAGCTGAGCAGTTTTTGTCTAAAACAAAAGCCTCTCGCGCTACTGATGAGTGCTGAAAATGGGGGTTGCCAAAGTTTGGTGCCTCTCTCTGTTTGATAGCAAGAAGAACTTTTGAAAGGTTTCCATAAAAGCAGAAAACATGAAGGAAATTCTGTAGAACCTTCACATTGGCAGTACTGTCACAAGCAGGAAATTCTGTTCATGTTGATGGAAGGTTAGAATTAATGATTAAAAATGGTTCCTAAGTACAAGAGTATCTCTTTCATGAACTGCAGCATATGAACTTGCACTTTTCAGTGTCATTCAAAACCAGGAATTCATTTAAAGCACATATACATGTGGTGCCCGTTGCCAGAAATGAGCAATTCGGAGCGGAGATTGGAGAAGGGATGTATTCCACCCTTTGCTGGTGTTAAGAGTTTCAGGATGTATTTCTTAAAGGTTTCTGAGATGAGTCCTGAGCCCTGGAGATTTTATGCAATTATTTTGGGTTCAGCAGTGCACAAGTATAGATTACCATATAGACCCAGCCAGGAGCTGTAAGCAAAATGCTGGCCATTGCATAATACTTCATTTTTTATATTTCTTCCCTCTCCAGTTGCTGAATGCTTTCTTTGGCAAAACTGAAAACCAGCCCCTTAAGAAATAGCTACCCTGTGAGCTGAGGGTTTGGTTTTGTAACAAGATAGTGAACTAGATTCTATTGCCTCGCTCCCTGCAGAACTATGAAAATAGAAATACAATTTTCTATTTCTAAATATTGAGCTTACCACTTATATTTTTCCTCTTCTTTTTTTTTTCTGGTGCCAGAGCCTGCTCACGCTGTAGTCTAAAAGTTGCATAGTTACCTCTAAAAATAAAGAGAACAATTAAGGTGGGAAGACAGAGGTTGAGATCCTGAAGTTCTGTGAGTTACGGGCTGGGAGGGATGGAAACAGACTCTTGATTAGCTGATACCATTGAAGCACATGTCCTGAAGTTGTGCAGGTTTTTCTGTTTTAAACTATTAGCTATAATAACTAACTTAATCTGAAAGTGTCTATTTCAGTAAGTAGGAACCTGAAAGCAAATCTGTTCTATTCAACAATTATGGAAGGCATTAGGAAAAGATCATTTAATACTAAAAATATAGTGATTCCTTTGAACTCATACAAGGTATATGTGAATGAAGCACCATTTGATTTGAAATTCAGGTTGTGGCTGAGTGCAATCCTTTTTTTCTAGCAACACCGTTCACCCTCAGGCCCCTAAGACCATAATACTAAGTTTGATTTGTGAGTTTTAACAATCTGTGGTTTTGCAAATAAAACTGCAACTCAGGATATGGGTTTGACTTAGATTTGTAACATACAACAAATTCCCACTGTCAGCAGATCTCTCTTGTAGAAGTTGCAGTCATGGCTCTCCTTAAGCACTTGTATGCACTCCTTCATTCCAAAGCATAAGGTGCATTTGCAAAGTAAAACCAGAGTTATCAGAGCAGATTTCACTGCTCCAGCTTGTAGTACCATTGCAGAGATACAAGTCTCATGAAGCAGGCAGAGAGGGAAGAAAAGGTGAAGATTTTCCACAAGACAGCTTTGGACAAGGTAACACCCACGAAGCAGACTGAAGAGTGTTGTTGGGTGTAAGAACAGGTCAGTGTTTTCTGTTAACTGCTTGTAGCAATATTCAAGGTGATGTAGCCACAGTCATTACAGAAGAAGCCCAGCATCAGAGAGACAGAGTATTTTGTATTCCTCGTGCTGCTGTTTACACTGTGTTTTGTCTGGGGCTTTGTCAGCCTTTTCTCTGCTGGGGTTTTCCTGAGCTCTTGAAAGATCCCTCTTCAAAGTTACATGGCTTTTAAAGTCCTGGTAAAACAAAGACCTCATGTCAGAGTTTAGTATTTCAATTAAACTACAAGAGTAATAATTTGCATTAATTGTAGCCTATTAGTTGCAAATGACAACGTTTTGTTTTGTTGTACTTAAAGATTTTATTAGTAACAGACACTTTTAGTGAGTGTTTGTTGCCCCAAGAGCTTTAGAGGAACTGATTTTCTGTCAGAAAAGATTGGAATCAATTGCATTCCTCCCTTCCATATAGTGCTAAAACATTTATTTAAAGGTTTATATGCTCACCCTGCCTTATCTGTATTCCGAGTCACTTGTCCAATGAAATAAAATTCATTCATGCCTTCCTTCACTGTGTTATTGACAAAGTGTAAGCTTTATGTGACTGGAAGCCAGAACTCTGTCTTTTGGGAATACCTCTCTCTAAACTTGTCTGAAAGAATTATTTTATTGCATTTTTCATGCCAGTTCAAGTATGTTTGAATGGTAAATCCCAGAAGCTGGGCTGTCTGTGACCGTATCAGCCTTTTGAATTAGCAGCATGCACAGCATGGTAGAAATATTAGGTTGTGAGGAAGGGGTGTATGTGCGACAAAGTTTTTATTATTAAGGTGTTTGTTTTTTCTTTGCAGGTAATAAACTACGTGTCATTTGTTTCTACAAACCAAAACTAGGTCAAGTCAGTTTCATAAGTGCCTGGCATTATGCTGATGGAAAGTTTGCCATCACTATATGTTTCTTTAGGCCATTCTCTATGGAAGAGCATTGCCTGAAGAGCAAGTGCTGCAGGCTCTGCTGTGTTTCATTTGGGGACAATGAGAACCTCAACAGGTGCTTTGGCCATCCAAGCAGCCAGTGCTGCAGGAGTGATGTTCAGCTGTCTGTCATGAGACAAAAGAAGATGTTATGATCTAGGTGATTTCTCCAGAAGATAGAGTAGCTCATTGTTGAATTAGATACTCAGTAAAACAAAGGAACCTGGCCTTGCAGCTGCAATGCCAAGTCCTGAAGCGAGAGATGTCCATGACCTGTCATTTCTCTGCACTGCTGTGTTAGGGTAACTCTTGTAAAGCAAAGGAGAGGCAGAGGTGCAAGTAGGATTTATCAGCACTGTGCTAATTTGAGACTAGAGTCTGAGAGGAAGAAATAAAAAGGTTACCTTTTCCTTTTGTCACTCAGCAAATTCCCAGAGCTGCCCCTGGAGAGAACAATGTGCATACAGGCACAGGGGTGTTCCGCACATAATTCCACTGCCTCAACCACAAACTAATTAAAACCCCTCTGATTCCCCCAAACCCCTTCCTCTCTGTTTTCATTTCCTCTCCGAGCAGGACTTCAGTTTCAATTTGCCATCCTCTGGGGACTCCACAATGAATAAGACTATTTGAGTTGTTCTAGAGCTTTCTTAAGCTTTCCTCGGAGAAACTATCCAAGTATTTAGCAATGTGCATGAACTGAGAACTAAAAGCAGAATATATCTGATTGTTTGAGTTCTCAAAACTGTCAGAGAGGAGGCTTGGAAAGAGAAATTAAGATAAATTCTGTTTCTCCTACAGAAGCTGCTATACCTCTAATGTTGCTGTTGAGAGCCAAATTACCTGGAGGAGGTCACCAGAGCAGACCACGCCAGCCTGAAGTTACCCATGCAGCCCTTGAAAAGGGACAGGATCTGATGCTGCAGAGAGTGGAAGCTCTCAGGTGTGCAGCCATTTTCTCTATAACTTCTGGTCACCCTGAAGTGGTCAGGCATTTGGATGAGATGATCATTGTAGGTCCCTTCCAACTGGACTATTTATTCTATGCTCATGTCTTTTTGTACAGTAGTGCTGGTTTAGGAGTATGTCATATTTTAGAGTTGTCAGGAATACATCAGTCTGACACAAGCTCATGTGAGGACCTGAAGAAAAGCAAACGTGGCTTTGAATAATCTGAGATTTGGCAGATTTGGGCCTAAAGATCAATGCTTATTTCTATGATAACCCTTCCTTATTGTGCTGCTGTTGTTAATGAGGGTGCTAATTAGGCTGTGGTGTCTGACCAACAGCTTACCTGTGTGTGGCCATTGTGTCTGAACATCTCCTAGCTGTCATGGCCTGTGACCACAAATAGGAATTTCTTGTACCTAGTAGCAGAGACTTCCATTTTAGGGCAACAATCCTCTTCCATTTGGCAAAGATTATGGATAGCATTGCAGGCTTTCAGTATAGTCCTGAAAGCACCCTCAGCACAAATACCTGTGGATTTTGTGCCGATTGACTTGTTTTCGTTCTGAGGCCAAACAAAGTTGGGTATGTGACCACCTTTACTTTCTTTATTGTCAGATGAAATGATAAGAAATGGTTCACAAATCTGGGTAGGCCTCTGCTAAGTAATACCGAGCAACTCTTAACTTCCAGATTCTGGTTCTGGACATTCAAGGAAGCTTTCCAAATAGCATATTAGTTATAAAGTAATCAGTCTGCTACAGTTCAATGTAATTCTGGGCTTAAAAAGAAACACCGCACACTGAAAGACCAGCCACACTCCTGGAGCTCATGGAGAGCTGCAGTGTAAATACTTACCTGATGAACTGGTCTCTGTCTCAATAAGCCATCTTTTCTTTTGGTGTCTGTAAACTACCTGATGTGATCTTGGTCTATCAGTGGGCATCCTTGGCCCTGCCCCACCACAAGGGATTAAGAGCCATAAAATACGTTTCTCATGCCATGAAGGAAATGAAACGGTTCCCACAACCCTTTCCCTCGGAGCAGACAACTGAGAGCACACACCACTGTGAAAGCACTCCATGGTGTCAGTGTTAGTAAGTAATATTAAGAGGGCTCCCCCTCCTCCCTGCACACAAACTCTGTGTACAGCATCCCACAAGGTTAAGTGCTGTGCTGCTCAGGGCACAGCGTTATATCCTGGTTGCCTAGAGGCAGTTGTTGGCTCAGTGAACGTGATGTGTCTGAGGCAGGAAATATAATCTCAGTGGGAGAATGGGAACTCCTTACGAAAGTCATGAACTCATTCACAATGCAGACATGCCCCAGGAGTTGGTTTTCAAGTGACCCAGTTTGCCCTCTGTTGTTACACATTTGTCCCTGAGGCATTATTTCACAGGCAAAAAAAAAAGGGGGGGAGAAAAAAGAGAAATACAGATATGAGTAATCAAAGACAAAATGCTGCTTTCAGCTGCCAGTTGGCAGCTTTCACCCTGGTGGTGGGTAGGTGGTTAAAGAAGGAGAAAGCAAATATTTGGATTCTGCAAACACTCTTACAGCACCTTTTTGGTGTGTTTACGCTTAAATAAACCGCCAGCTGAATGGATGATTAATTCTAGAGAGATGGATACATATGGATGTAAAAAGGTCAAGCTGACTTGCTAATGCAAAGCTGATACTCTGCTGATTGGCAAAAGGGATTTTCCCTATTTATATGGAGAGAGCTCTTGGTAGAGCCTTTTTGAAGGGAGGAAACAAAGATAAACTCTCTAGTGAGCTCTCAAATGTTTTTATAATAAAATTAATTATACAGCCCCTCTCATCCTTATTTTATCATGCCCAAGAATAACCTGACATCAGAGGGAGCATAAAGAATAATCTATCAAACAGGCACAAACATGTCCTGAATCAGAAGTTTCCCGTGTGTGATCACACAGGGGGATCTCCCTTTCAAACAGCTCCTGACTCTGGTGTATGAAACCTACATGAGAAATTTCTGCACTGAAGTTCTTCATGCATTTCTATTCCCAGTAAAACCAAAAAAGAATAAGTTATCCAAATTGCTACCAACTTCAGGAAGCCCTTCTGCAACGAGAAACAAGCAAGTTCACCAGCCTTAACCTTCCATCATATTGCCACAAGAAGAGCAGTCCATGATCTAGATTGCCTGTGGTGTTTCTGCTTATTTTATGATGGACTCTTCTGACGTCTGATTAAGACAGAGATCTGAATTTGAAAGACCTGAGTGCTCTTCGCTGTGAAAATGCTGAGCCCACCTTGTCTAGCAACCTTTGACATATTAAGAGGGCTGGTAATTGCCACTTTCAGTTCTAAATGTTTTAAATGACATAGCAAATTATGACTTGATAGGATCTACTTTTAGATCTCACTGTAAAAGGCAGACAATTCATCATAGAATCATAGAATTCTCAGAGAATAAATCCATTTTCTTCTCCTGTGTTTGTGGTTTACAGCCCGTCCTCACCCCCAGTGTCTAATTACGTTAGATGAGTGTGTGCAAATATGTGCCTTACCTGCCACAATCCAAATCTTACCTTACTGGTTTATACAGAGGTTAATAAGCTCAGTCTGCTTCCCTACTGTTTAATGTTTTTAATGCCCTATGCAACTTCATGGCCTTTTACCAGGAGTACAAAGGATGGACTTAGAGAATGACTGTCTTTGATGGGTCTGGGCTCAGTAACACTTTTAACTTAGGAGTTCATAAGCAGAAGTGCCAGTAAATACTTTTTGCAGAAACCATCACAGAATGGTTTGGGTTGGAAAAGGACCTTGAGATCATCTAGGTCCAACCCCCTGCCATGGGCAGGGACACCTCACGCTAGACCATGTTGCCCAAGGCTCTGTCCAACCTGGCCTTAAAAAACTTGGCCTTGAAAAACTTAATTTGTTTTCCAGAAGCATTAATTTTTAATTTTATCCTGTTTATCCTTCTGTGTAATAATTCCTTGTTGCTGATTTGGAGAGGAGACTCATGCATTATCATTCAGAATGCTACAAAATTCAATTACAGGCTGGTGCAGCATCCCTTCTTGCTTTGTGAATGATTTACCTCTGTTGAGAAAACAGGAGGACTTGTTCCCTCCCAAAGCACAGTTACTCATTTTAACACAGCAGCCAGCCTTAAGCTATGCAAGCCAGGGTTAAACAGTAAAGGAACATTAATGAAATGACTTGAGGGGTGGTGTCCTTTAGCCATGAGTACAACTGTCCCTTGAACTCACGTAAGGACATAAATGGTATGAGATCTCCAGGGCTGTAATTCTGCCTCCACCAGTGTCCAGTATGTGCAGGCCCCACTCGTTCCTCCAGGCAGACCTTGCCCGGCACCTCAGTTGTCTTCGAGTCAAGTATCATTGTTCTGCTGTCAGCACTTCAGCCCCCCTACCTCTGAGCTATAGAGGCACCTGTCAGCTTCATGGAAGCAGCCCATATATATCTATAGGATGAGAAGTTAATTCTGATCTTCTTCATTACTGTCATTCATCTTATTTATATTTCAGTTTATTGCTCAAGATGACCAGAAGTGTCCAAGAGAAGCTTTCATTTCTCTATTCAGAAAACTTAAGACATCTTTAGGCGTGCTGGAAAATGCCCCACTTTCCCCTCACAAGTGTTTCATCAGTATTTTCAGGCTTTTACCAGCGTGGTGCATAGTCACGTTTTTAATTCTTCCCTTCATGACATGAGGGAGTGAGGCACAGATTAAGTGTTCTATTTAAAAACCACTTTGACACATTTTGTTGAAGCCAAGACAATTCTGCTGAAGTATTATCATGATTTACTTGAGGTAAATCGGCAAATAACTCATGTTGCCCCATAGGGCCACTCAGATAAGTGTGTGGTTTATATACACAGAGCCCTATAGCTGCAGCAATTGGCACATTTCCTTCAAGTCAAGGCAGAGATTACACAATAAGACAGGGATATTTAGAGAGATGCTGCTGGTGGTGTCTGAGCCCTTAGGCTTTGTTCAGGCAGCTCCATCTGAATGGATCACTTCCATACCAAGAGGAAAAAAAATCTCTGGAGTGCAATGTGAAGTGTTTCCTATTAATGGCAACATGAATGTTATTGCTGAGCTGTGTTATGCTGGATGATTGTATGCAGCAGAAGGTAATTTAACTCACCAGAATTTTGTTTTGCTTCCCTCCCCCAGGTTAAAAGTCTGATCAGATGCCTGCTCTACGTGCAAAACCATCAAGTGACTGCAGCAAACGCCTCTGGAACACAAAGCAGAAGCAGGCAGACAGCAGCTGAATGGAGCCCCTGCTGCCAGGGGAAGCAGACAGTGGGGCTGGGGTTTCCCACCGAGTCCTCCAGCCCTTTGCTGCTGGGAGGAGGGTTATTAAACCCTTCTGCTTTGCTCTGAAGTGCTACAAATAGAATGGTAAATCTAAATAACGAGGTGCACGCTGTTCCCTTCACTATGTGCTGCAGATGACAAGCAGGAACCAAAAACCAAAAGGAAAATATAAGTATAGCTGGAGGCTATTGTGCCCACCATGGAGCTAACTCTTGCAGTGTGTTCAGGTGTATACCTTGTACTTGTGTTGTACATCCTGCAGTGGTGACTGCCTGCTGCTGTAAGTGAGGCTGTTTATTCAAGCCAGGATCCTCTTTGCACCAGTGATGCTCTGTTACATGGCTCAGCACCTACTCTGACAAGCTGCAGAAAAGGGAGGTTGTATCCTGAGATGGGAGCAGTGGTTCTTAAACTTTCCCTTGAATTTCCTGCTCTTCTGCCTTCTGCTCCCCTAAGGAAGTTGGCCAGTATGACTGCACCAGGAACACTTTCCCCATAATGGTCTTTGTGGGTTATCCCAGCCCACAAGGACCCCTTGCCACAAAGAGCCCAATGGAAGGTCTTCTGAAGGAGACTACTTCTCATGCCTGCCCGCAAATAAATCCAACCTCTCTGTTCTGAGGTTCAAAAGCTCTAAGACCTGCCAGCTAGATAACAAATCTGAGAGATGCCAGTTGAAAGCTGACAGCAAAGGGAGAGGACAGGGATTACACCAAGGTTGATGTTATTTGTCATGCATTGGCTTACCCTGAGACAACTATTGCTTTGCTCACCTACTGCAGACACTTAAACCCTTGACGTTGGGTTTCTGGATATAGACACCTCAGAAAAGAGGGTGAGTGCCTACAGAAACAGAGATGGAATCAGGCTGCCATCTCCAGCACCGATCAGTCATGTACAAAGTCACTGATGCCTCATCCAAATTTCTGTCTAACTGGCATGACAGGCT